GCCGAGTGTTTAACATGCCAAGCTCACATTCTGTACTGTCACGGTTCGACTCCAGCTGTATTGTTTATAAGACCTATACAGGTCGAAACTGCAGTCAACCCTGGATGAGAACAACTTTGGGGAAAGCAAGGCTATGTGAAATTCAATTGAAACGTCAGCTCTTCTCATATCATTGTGGGAAAATTCTTCTACCATTCCTTCATCACCTTTGACGAAATAGTGTGAATACATCTCGTATAACTGAAGGGACCTTGTCTGATTAGAAATTTGGCCCCGAAGGTGAGGAAAAATTCGTGGGCACCGTGATTAAGCCTTACTAAGACCATAAAATGGGCGCATTTCTAGGGTCAATCAGATTAAGCAAGATAGGAAGGAAAGTAAGAAAGGGGATGCGACAAAGACTGGACTTTATGAGATTCCTAAATTTGTCAGTACAGAGGCAAGAAAGATAACATATATCGGCAAAAAGACGAGGAGATGGGCTTCATCTACTCATTTCTTTCTTATTAAAACTACAGCAATTCTTTGCCGCATCTTAGCTTGGATTTATTTTGTGAATAATGTCCAGCTCCATTGATGTATCTGTTCATCAAACTTTCCAACGTAATGAAAGACTAACGATTGTCTGTGATTTTCCTCCTTTAGTTGTTACTGCTTATCTACTGCATCCATTATCACTTATTAATGTCCTTGTCCATTTCTCGTTGTTCACACACCCATGCACTAACTTATTAATCTTATTTCTATTTATCCTCCATAGATACATTTCACCTTTTGGAACTCAATATCAATAATGTTTTTTTACCTATGCAAATGATGTCAGCATCTTTTTGATATCGTCTTATTAAATAATATCTCATCCGAAACAGAACTAAATAGAAATTCCTTATTATTGTGATCAATTTTTGTATGTGGTTTGAATCTTGGATAGTTAGTACAAGGAACCTGATCTGAGACCCATTGCTAAGATGAATGACAAAAGAATGAAATAATAAGACTGTATATTTTATCTCTGTAAGTAACTAGATAGAAGAAATATAAATTCACTCGTGTTCATAAGAGGATGGCAGGAAACGTTGCCTAATATTGCACTCCTAGTGTAGCTATATGTAGTAGGCACCACGATTATATGTTGCATATTTGCGCGACTCGGAGACATAGGATCGATATGAAGTTGGTAAAAGCAAAGTCCCTTTGTCACTGTCTAGCTAGTAAAGTCCTTTAAGTTCGGTCATTTGAGAAGTTGAGCTTTGACGCTGGGTAAGCGCATCCTCTTATTGCAGGCCGTCTAACCGACTACTATTATGTAATGGGGCGCAATTCAGCTGCTTGCTGGAGTGTGACAGTCTAGAATCGGTGCGCGATGACCATCAAC